TTTTGTTGAATGAAATTATTTTTGGTTGAAGTTGAACAAATATTTTTGTTGAATGAAAATAATTTGGGTTGAAGTTGAAAGAAAATGCGTATCGTTGACTATAAATATAAAATGTTGAATATAAATATATGTTGTTGAACATAAATATAAGTTGTTGAATATGAAGGTCCAAGTTGTTGAATTTTGCAACATTTGGCTAACCATAAAATTCTTGGCTCAGCACAGTAGAAGACAAACAGTTTACTAGCGAAAACCAAGCTTCGGTCGACACAAAGGTACGTCAAATAGGTCTCTTCACCTTATTTAGATCTTTTGAAATCATTCTTCAATTAAAATATTGAACAACAAAGGATTTTTTGCTGTGCGCATTGCTCGAAACAGCTGAAAGTTTGGGATTTAACTTCTCATAGGAAGCCGCAAAAGGCAAAATCTATTTGTTAGGGAGATCAGCAGAATTATTCATTTAAACATGTTGTCCTTACTCACAGTGTTGTGGTTGAAGCATAACCGAAGGTAAACAGGATCATCATCATGAGCAACTTCAATCAAACCGATCCTTATGATTCTGCGTCGTGCCCGTACGCCGTTTCCATTCTCTTCACAACTGCCGTGGCTATAATCAGCTTAGCAGGTTTAATTGGAAACATTTTGGTGATCTTCTCAGTTTATAAAACTCCAAGTCTGAGGACAAGCACCAACTATTACTACGTCAACATGGCGGTGTCAGATCTTATTGCTAGTGTCACTATCTGGCCGCTGTACCTCACTGATGAGATCATAACAAGCAGTGGAAGTCTTCTCCAGGAACCTCATGCAACTACTGCGTGCAAAGTGGGAATTTTTTTCAGACTGGCATCGACCATAGTGTCTATCTTAAGCTTGGTGTTGATCGCTGTTGACAGATTCATCGCTATCGTATTTCCTCTAAAAGCAACATTGATTACATCAAAATTGAGAGCAGCTTTCCTATGTGCCACATGGTTGATATCCACCGTATATTGTTTCCTGGCGCCTTACCATTCCAGAGTGCGAAAAGTCGGACGGGAAACATTCTGCAGATTTGCTTGGAATGAGTTGGCGAGTACGATCTACTTTGTAACTGGCCTAACGTTGTTTACTGTCACACCATTGATCACAATTATTGTTCTTTATCTTCGTATCATGCGCTCTTTAAGAACAAGACTGCAACCGCAAGATGACACAAGAGCCAGTAACCTCCAGAAAAACAGAAGCAAGCAGAACCAAAACGTAATGAAAATATTCAAATCTATTGTTATTGCGTATTTCGTTACCTATTCTTTTTTGTGTGTATATTTTGTCCTGAAAATCGCGTTCCCTGAACTTTCTTACGAAGACAGCTGCAAGTTAATTTTGGGTTTTACCTATTTTGTGTTGCCATCGCTAAGCACAGCTATTAATCCAGTAATTTTATTTGCATTTAGCAGTAATTTTCGCCAAGCACTGCGTAAAATGCTCCCTTTCCGTTTTTCAAATTCTGTTCATGTTGTAAACACATCAGTACAAGAACGAGATGAGCCCACACCAGATCAAGCGAAATCTAGTCAGACGCAGTGTTGAATTTATAACAGTAAAAATGGTTAAAGCTTATGCCCGTCCACAATAGCGATAAAAATAGTTTCAGAATGATAGCTGACGGCTTGACAATCTTTGTTTCATTTAAGTTGACTATAAATTGAAATATATGTGAACGTTTGCATAACGACGTCTCACAAGGTGTACATGATATAGAGGATATTACACGGTGGCTCGAAGATATGAATTTTAAGTTCTCGTGGCAAGAACAATTGTTTTTATTGTTCTTGCCACGAGAACATAAAATTCATATCTTCGAGCCACCGTGTAATGTTCCTTTTATTATATGGAGACTAAACAAACGCGACGCGAGAAACCAATTCAACAAAAGCAAAAGGCGGGAATCGTGACGTCATTGAACGATACGACACTCACAAAGGTGGCATACAGAAAATACGCCACTCGAGTCCCGGATGAAGTGGCGTATGGAATCTACGAGTGGTTTAGTTCCCAGTAAAACGCTCTTCTCCATATAATACTATGTTATATTTACCCACCCACCTTACAAAGCTCACAGGTGCATGGAGCTTCTATTTAACTATACTTCTCCGTTCGTTTGTACCACCAACATTGGTACCACTCCTTTGTCATTTCAGTCTCTAAAGATTGATTAATTGTAAACCACTATTAGAATTATTAAATTCATCCTGTAATTTTTGCTTTCTAAATAAGCAGTTAATTCTGTTGGTTAGGGCACTTAAAGTAATTTATTTTAAAATGTTACTATACCTTAAGAAATAACATTTAAAACTGCTGTATATCTAAAATGCGTTGATTATTGATTGCATTTATTTCGAATTTACATGACGTTTCATCGTTCCGAAATAATGTGTCTTCCTTATTTTGTTCCGTTCCTAATTTCTCCATAGAGTCATTTTAGCCCTCCTCTATTGACATTGTCGCTGCA